AGAAGTTTGTAAGGTTAATAATGAGAAGAGATCTTGCAAATTCTGTTCTGTTAATTGTATTATTGTTGAGGTCGAGATAATAAATTTGGAAGAGTTGGTTCCAATCCTGATGAATAGTAGCATATAGAAATTGTTTTTTGTTGCTGTTTATTGTGGGATGCTTCATGTTAAGAGTTAGTTAGTGGTTGAGTGCACTTGAAAGTGCTAAGAAAAAAAGTGTTTCTTGAAGGACTATTATCAAATAAGGAAATTTTCAAGTAAAAAATTGATTGACACAAAATTATAATTTACAAATTCAAACTTATTTTTTCTATTTATAATTTATTTTGTTTATCTTTTTATTTATATTATTTGAAATTCATCTTATTATTTTATATTCTTTTTTAAAAAATATAAACAAATCTAAATATATACTTACTTATTTATTCAATAATAATATACAAAAAAATAATTTCGTTATTATAATTCTGACTTTATTATATAAAATACTATTGATAATTAAGTTATAATAGATAATTATTGATTTATAACATTTGAATTTATTCTTTATAAATCCATGGAGCAATTTTTTATTTAATCATCTATTTTAGGCTTCTCCTTGTATATATTTTCTTTCACCGTGAATCTATAAAATTTAATTTTATTTATTTCAAAAAATGTGACAATATTTCTTTTCCCTTATCTTTTATAATATTTTTCTTTAATAATTAGTATAAGTTACTGTTATTATTTTATTATTTTTTATTTTGCAATGGATCTGAGGAAGTCAGTGTAACTGCTAGGTGCTTATTAAGGAAATCTTTGTTTAAATTATTTTATAAATTATTGATTTTAACTTTTCCATTTTATTATAAGGTTCTTTACAAAAAAAGTGTATATAAATTAAGAAATGGAGTAAGAGTAGGACGGTGTGTAATAAATAAATAAATAAATATCTTAACAAAAATAAAAAAAATAAAATTATTTCACTATCATGGGCAACAAACATTGCTAGCAGTAGAATTAAAAAAAAAAGACAGCTAATTTTTCACCAATATTATTGTAATTTAATTAACATCAACAATTATTATATTAATATAAAAAGTATGCATGCACTTTCGAAATCTAAATTTCAGATTTTTCAAGCAAATATTCTGCTTTCTTCTTATCTTTCATGGTCTAATTCCATCGCGATAACAAATTCAAAGATTGTTTTGTCTGGTAGTATTTCCACCTTCAACAAATTTCAGATACCATTGAAATGCCTTTTCATTGTCTAGAGTGGTTCCAATTCCACTCGCATAACAATATCCAAGATTATTTTGTCCAATAGGATTTCCACCTTCAGCAGATTTCAGATACCATTGAAATGCTTTTTCATTGTCTTGAGTAGTTCCAATTCCCCTAAAATAACAATCTCCAAGACTATTTTGTCCAGTAGAATTTCCACCTTCAGCAGATTTCTGATACCATTGAAATGCTTTCTCGTAATCTTTAGTGGTTCCAATTCCACCGCAATAACAATCTCCAATATTATTTTGTCCAGCGGTATCTCCACTTTCAGCAGATTTCTGATACCATTGAAATGCTTTTTCTTTGTCTTGAGTGGTTCCAATTCCATGAAAATAACAATTTCCAAGACTATTTTGTCCGGTAGTATTTCCACCTTCAGCAGATTTCAGATACCATTGAAATGCTTTCTCGTAGTCTTTAGTGGTTCCAATTCCATTAAAATAACAATATCCAAGACTATTTTGTCCGTTAGTATCTCCACCTTCAGCAGATTTCAGATACCATTGAAATGCTTTTTCATTGTCTTGAGTGGTTCCAATTCCATTACGATAACAGTATCCAAGACTATTTTGTCCACTGGAACCTCCACTTTCAGCAGATTTCAGATACCATTGAAATGCTTTCTCGTAGTCTTTAGTGGTTCCAATTCCATTAAAATAACAATATCCAAGACTATTTTGTCCGGTAGTATCTCCACCTTCAGCAGATTTTAGATACCATTGAAATGCTTTTTCTTTGTCTTGAGTGGTTCCAATTCCGCGTTGATAACAATCTCCAAGGCTATTTTGTCCAGCAGTATTTCCACCCTCAGCAGATTTCAGATACCATTGAAATGCTTTTTCTTTGTCTTGAGTGGTTCCAAATCCGACTAGATAACAAATTCCAACTTCCCTTTGTCCAGCGGCATTTCCACCTTCAGCAGATTTCAGAAACCATTGAAATGCTTTTTCTTTGTCTAGAGAGGTTCCAATTCCACCCGCATAACAATCTCCAAGATAAATTTGTCCAACGGCATTTCCACCTTCAGCAGATTTCAGATACCATTGAAATGCTTTTTCATTGTCTTGAGTGGTTCCAATTCCATTACGATAACAATTTCCAAGAAAAATTTCTACATTACCATTTCCGCCTTTTTTGTCTTGAGTGGTTCCAATTCCACCTGCATAAAAATATTCAAGATTATTTTGTCCAGCGGCATTTCCACCTTCAGCAGATTTCAGATACCATTGAAATGCTTTTTCTTTGTTTTGAGTAGTTCCAATTCCGTCGCGATAACAATCTCCAAGATTATTTTTTCCAGCGGCATTTCCACCTTCAGCAGATTTCAGATACCATTGAAATGCTTTTTCTTTGTCTTGAGTGATTCCAATTCCTTTACGATAACAATCTCCAAGATCATTTTGTCCAGTAGTATTTCCACCTTCAGCAGATTTTAGATACCATTGAAATGCTTTTTCATTGTCTTGAGCGGTTCCAATTCCATCGCGATAACAATTTCCAAGAATATACTGTCCAGTAGTATTTCCACCTTCAGCAGATTTCAAATACCATTGAAATGCTTTTTCTTTGTCTTGTGTGGTTCCAATCCCTAATTTACAAAGAAAACCAAGAGTCATGACATTCTGAGAGGTTTCCTGGTGATTAATTAATAAATTAAAAATTTGTTCTGAAGTCGTCTTATTGCTCTCAACGAACGTGTTAACACAGATCATTAACGCAGAATCAGAAAGCTCCTTATTTAGCTGATCGACAATAAATTGATATAATTCGTTTAACGTGTTGAGTTCAAAATCCCTAACAAAATTACTCTCCATCACGAGATTCCCAGTACTACCAATAGGATTTTCTCTTTCGTAAAGTTCCTCAGGTGGTTTTGATACATCTGACTTAATAATATCCAACGAATCGAGCAGTTCTTTAACTCGAATTATTTCGGGTCTCTTATCTGGATTTTTGTCCCAACAGGCTAATAAAGTTAAAAAATATTAGCTACCTAAATATGATTATACAAGCATAAATAACGAAACACATTGTTTATTCCTTATAAGCAAACCTTCATAAATATCGATGTATCCTTGAGGTGTTCCGTCTATTCTTTTCTCTCTGAGGCCATCAAAAATTTGGAACATTAACGCTAGGTCATATCCACACGAATTAAAAGGAGGATTTCCGCTCGTGAGCTCCCAGAGCAAAAATCCTAAACTATAAATATCAGATTTCTTATTTTTTTTAGGATAATAATCCTTATTTGCCATTCCAAAACATTGTGGATCAACATATGGCAAAACTCCAAGTGGAGCACTAGCGGTTTGAGTATTCGAAGCATCCATTAGTTTTTTAGATAGCCCAAAATCGGAAAGTTTCATGTTTCCATGACAGGTGAGAATATTCCCTGGATGCTAAAATAAGGTAATAAATAAATAAATATAACAAAATAATAGAAATATAACAAAATGATGAAGATATAACATTATAATAAAAATATAACAATATAATAGAAGTATAAAAATACAACAGAATTTAAACATATAACTTAATTACCAAATCCCTATGGATAATGTCTTTTTCGTGTAAATATAAAATTGCGTTTGTGATTTGTTTAGCCATGCGCAATTTATCACTCCACTTTAACAATTTAAAATTTTCTTTAAGGTACTGCCGCAAATTTCCATCAGCATATTCAATGACCATAAGATATTCGGTTTTTTTCGGATCTTTATAATTGATTAAATTAATAATCGTTACAGTTTCTTATATATACGTGCTTAGAATAATTACCTTTCTTAGAAATTCCGTAAAGTCGTAAAATGTTTTCATCAAAGTCCACATCTTGATGTAACTTAAGCTGCGCGGAATATTTATTTATGTTAGTAATTATTTTAGATAATTACTATATACATAATAAAATGAAAAACCTCGTTAAGAAATATATTTGCTGAAGTTTCATCAAAAATTTTAACTTTTTTAATCGCTACTGTTTTTTTAATAGTCTTTGAATAAGCTTTATATATTTTTCCATAGCTGCCACTTCCTATAACTTCAATACCCTCGAAGTCGCTGTATTTGAGCTTCCTTAATGGCAGTTCTTTTATAGAACTTTCGAGGTCCTCGATCCATCCATTTTTCGATCGTGAATTTTCTGAAAGAGACATTTGAATTGCAAATGTGTAACTTGTACGGTATAGCCTAAATATTTATACTGTAGTCTGCATTTGTTGTACAAAAGGTTCGCGAAGTTATATTAAGCCGTTATACAGAGTTCATAAAGTTACGACGCTTATCTAGTAATTAATTGTGGTACACAATTTCAGTGATCCAAAATCGAATGATTTTAGCATCATTCGATTCGTCTTGTCAAGGTGAATCGAATGTTACAATAATTACCTTATTCTGATCACTGGGCATAAGAAGTAAGAGGTGGTGAATATTATCTCATTCCTACAAAATGGTCTAGTATATAGATACTGATACAGTAGTTATTGTATTAGCCTTTATATATTTAATATAGATGCCAAATTGAGTACTGTATATAGATATATTAATATAAGTAGTATATTTTTACTATTAAAGTAGCACTCACAGAATACCTGACCCTCCCTTATATTTCAACTTGGTAAATGATAATAACAAACAAGCCGTAGACCGTAGAGCACTTGCATACAGTAACGCCTTTATATATAGGGTGATGATATTAAATAAGTTTTATAAGATATTCGTCAGATGAAGAAATGTCTTATGACTCGGAACATTATGAACCTATGGGACTAAAAAATATAGTTGTAGGTACAACAGCTTTACTGAACGAGATTTGGTCCTCATCAAATATTTTTCCGGCGAATTAAAAGTGTCATTTTCCTAATAAGGCACTCGAAAAATGTTATAAATGCAAAAAAAGACAGAATCTTACCTATGGATTTTGTCCCAGCTGTGATTTCGAACCCTGGACCAGTGGTAATCAGCTTGTTAACGAATTCATTATAAAAAGGCAAACTCGTGTAGAAAAACATGGTTGACTAGAATGGATCCCATACGATGAATTTACCGATATTGAATTTGTAGTAAGAGGAGCATTTGGATCAATTTCTAAGGCAACATGGAAAAAAGGACCCAGAAATTTGAGACTTGATGGAACTTTTTAATGGTCCAATCCAAATATTTTAGTCGCCCTTAAAAGACTCACTGGTTCAGAAAATTATCTGAAAGAATTCCTTCGTGAGGTACGTCAGTAAAAAAATGTATTGGTTGTATCGGATCAGTTAATAACATAGTTTCATACGAATTTAGACGTGATTACATGTACGTAACCAATTTAATTCGATTTTATGGTATTACACAAGATCCAGAAACAAAGGAATACCAGAATGTGCTGATAGAAAGTATGGTTTTAATCTTGCAACCGAAATAATTGGAGGCCTCCGCCTGAAGTTTACTGAAGAAACTCCAGAAAAATGTCGTAAGATTATCAATGCATGCTGTGATCTGAAACCTGAAAAAGCGACCATCAATGAAGGAGTTACGGCGGCAATTTTGATATCGTACCGCCAATAAATCAACAGGTGCAATTTTTATATGGCCACCTTATTTTCATTTGGAAGATCCATGTTTAGATGTGGTAGAGCTTATTCGGAAAGTAGAATTATTCAGAATATCAGACTTAGGCAAGTTATTATCGGGTGATACAAGCAATAGAGCAATATCAGAATATAATTCAGAAACTTATACTTACAGCCAAGTTTTGCCACTAGCACATTTGGATCAAGAAATAAAGATCTAAACATCGACATGATTGATTTTAGCAAATCAAATTTGAATTAATAACATAATTGGGTTGTTACATAGCAAATCGGAGATTTTTAAATTTTTGGTGGATTATATTCCTAAGAATGTCTTTATCTGTAGTAAAATTTTAGTTATAGTATATATTAATTTATTACAATCTTGCGCGCAGTTTTTATTTTATGTTTATGTTTCCAAATCGACAACTTTTCTCTAAGCATGGTTTTGCTATGTACCAATTCATTTGTAATTTGAAAAATCACAAAAACCGTTTATATTTTATTTATGCATCAAATATATAGTTTTTACAATGTTCAGAGGGGGTGTCACTCGTGCGATACCCTTACGGCACTTGTGCGTCACCTGTGCAGGTGCGCTTATACGTAATGAGTTCAAGTGAAATTTCCGTACCATAGTAATTTATATTATTTAAGTAGATTTTCGGATTTTGTTTCTAGTATATGAAAATTCGAAAGCCGAAAATCAAAAATCGAAAACTAGAAAATAAAAATAAAGTAAATAAAAATACGAATAAAAAATAAAATAAAGAAATAGAAATTGTAACTATTTTTGTCCGAAGCAAAGCGTAGGACTTAAAGGGAGACAACGAGCAGAAAAGTGGTCATTTCCGCATTTTTAATTTTAGATACATTACTACGTTATTAGACTTAGATAAGTTACTACATTATTAGATTTAGATACGTTATTATATTTAGATACGTTATTAC